TTCTACGTATATCCTCTTCCTATGAATTTTATGTGCGGTCGGTTTTGGCGTGGATCGAATCGGTTTAGTTGGTTATCTTTTGTTGACACTTTGACATGGATATCAATCTTTTTCTAGTTTGATTATTTATGAAATTCCATTGTAAATCAAAATCAATAAAAATGGAATTATTATATGAATAGAATGCAAAGTACACGAGGACGATCGTAAGTAGATAGGTCAGTGTCGGTCCCACCTATCTCATTTTTTTTGGGTTTGTTACCTCACCGACGAGGTTTTAGTCTTTCTAGAGATTTTAAACAAGGGCTCTAGAATTCATGTGAATCCAGCTAAAGTTTGCTCCAACCACCCACTTACCACAAKTTAGTAATCAAATCATTTATCTGTAATTTATTTTTCGAAGTTTGTAAAATGGTATTAGCAATTTTAGTCACTAAATACGTATGTTCCTTAAATGGGGAACTATATCTATCAATTRACTTTTGATTCACCAAGATAGAATCAAATTACAAAGACAAAGGGCATGAGATATCAGGGGAAGTCATATGAATTCCCAAAGAACAATTTTCACGGAAACACAAGAGATCCGAGGGGATTTTCAAGTTACTATTCCTATAATAAATCAAGTAGTCTCAAATTATTTCAGGTAGTTTTATCCGACAAATTTAGATAATTTATATATAATGAAGTAAAGAATCCGTATATATGCGGATTTATGATAACATATTTTATAATCCGTGAAATAATCAAAGTCTAAAAAGTTAAAGTAAAATAAATCATATATAAAAATAAACAAAGTAAAATCGAAAACATTAATACTAAATTGTTTTTATTTGACAAGTTTCTGTATAATACTTTATTATCATTATTTATTTATAGTGATTCATTTTAGTGCATGTTGGTAAATTTTAGTACATATTAAATTAATGGTTTTGTTTTGAAATATTTTTTTTGGTAGAGGAAGACTTTTTTCTATTTGTGTTGTGTTTCTTTTATGCTTATTTTTTTTGGTTTCTCAAATAGCAAAAGTAAGTAAGAATAAATTATACAAGAGTTGGAGAGCTAAACAAGAAAGAAAGTTATAAAGGCTCGAACTGATGAGCTAAACAAGAAACAAAGTTATAAAACGAGCTAAAGAAGAAACAAAGTTATAAATGAGCTAAATAAGTTCAAGAGCCTCGAACCGACGAGCT